TCTATTTAAATAATCTATATTTATATTAGTATAAGATATCATATTGTTACTAGCACTGGTTGTTGAGATAATTGAATTATAAAAGTGCCATTTTATATGGAATACATGGTGGCCCGCCCGATTGTCTGGCCCGCTCGTTTATAGGTTACGTTAGCGTAGATTGCGGGAGTGGATAGATTATTATATACTTTTTCTAATAGATGCACGCAGGAATATCTAAATATAGCCAATCCAGGGCCGAGAAACCGCACTCAACTGTACAAGTCCCAGGTACTAGGGTATAGTGTGCCATACTGTGGCTCAGCAGATATGCATGACATGTGAAGATCATCACTGTTCTATCCCGCCTCACGAGAGTTGCTGAGATGTTTCGCAAGATGGCCCTATGCGAAGAACATATTTCACCAGCGAGTCAAAGGCTTGTAACGGGTAATCGGCCCAATTCTGCCAGGAAGCTGGCTTTGGTGGACTTGAAACAGTATATTACAAAGTGATACGAAAGCTGCAGACTGAGACACCCGGGAAGTCGGTTTCAAGGCCTAATATTTGCTTCAATTGTGCAATATCAGATTCATTACTAGTTGTAAGAGAGCGACAAAAGCTATGGAGCATTCCATGACAGGGAACTCTTAAGTTGAGCCGTTCGAAATATTCTTCAGTGCGGCAATGGAAGGGGAGAAGAAGTACTCCCCCCCTCTAGGAATCACGCAGCAATGCAAATCCACATGGATGTTCTTATTCTTGCCATCACACAATCCCATCACAAACGGGTCTGGCCCATTTGGCTGACCACAGATTGGATCGGCTCCGGGTCCTGGATCACCGGTGATACGCTTTTTGCCTGAGGGGAAGGTGTTCTTGTTGCACCACTCTGGATGTAGTTATCAGAGGACGTGTTCTATTATAACGTTTAGGAGTTGGATCAATGTGGATAGCTTACGCTCTTGGATCCTGCGGAATCCATTTGAAATATTGCTTTGATAGCAGACAAACAACATTCCACGATCTTCCTTCGTTGTTTGCTTGTCTTGCTCTTCTTTTGTAACCTCCGGGCCATACGGTATGCCCCGCCGGATGATTGCACTGCTGAATTTGTCTGCCAGATCGCCACGTGGTCTAGCCTTGCGTATATGCGCGGCAAAAGGGCAATGCTCTTGGGTATTGGTTGGTAGATAGTCAAAATTGTTATTTTCCGCCAGAGCGGGATCGTCTTTCCAGAGCGTGTGGCACAAGGGAGCTCCTACTTTCCTTCAGAACTTGTCATGGAATGGGAGGGAGGAGTTTTCCAAATACATACCACTTTTCCACCGGCCCATCAAGCGTGCAGAGAGCTGATCGGCGGTCAGGTCGTGCTTTGGGGCCGTTTCATTCAACCATCTAGGCACCAATGAGTTTGTGATAAGAAGATAGGGCAAGTATTGGAGACTTACTTGTTAAACTCCGGCACTAACTGTTGAAGCTTGCGGAAGACCAGGAAGCTACCTTCCGTCGCCCAATCCGGCTGAGGTGAAGGGTCTTGGTCGGTGTTGGTGATAATATACCTGGTGGTGTGTAAGTATCCCCTCACACTCTGATACGGTTTGTAGAGAAAGCGGTCCCTACCCCGGTGGTACTGGCGGAGGTTCTTTATCCCCTGTGGGGGACGGGTCCAGCCCGACAAGCTGGGGCTGGGAGATATGTTCACGGTACCCAAAGCTACTATCGGTTAAGTCTGATCGCAATGCATTGCACTGGGAGTGGAGCTCCTTACTGTTCCTTATTGCTCTCCTGGCCCGGACGCTTATATCCAGCGATCGTGAAGCGGTCTTTGATGCTGGAATTGAACCAGAAAAAGCCGATAAAGTGAGACTTCACCTCATAGAGCTTCGCATAAGCGGTCCTCTCGGAATCGCCCGTGACCAGAATTATGCCATCGATGTCGTTATCCTTGAAGCGTGTCTCCCAGTCATCTGGATTATCCCGGCCTTCACCCCCAGCAGTCCCACCTTGCAGATCGGCAAGCATGCCGCCAAGAAAGGGACCAGCCTTCAAGCGGTCACTCTCGTTCTTCACCAGCTAGAGGCTGAGGTTAGCGATATCTCTCACACCAGGATGGGACCCGGGGGTATAACCACTGGCTTACCTTCTTCAGGCCATTCGCGCTGAAGCCAATATTTACCCCAGCCAGTGGAATCGTTGCGGGGTGCGTAAGCCCGTCGGACACTGCAGCCTTGTGTTTCGCAATTTGGTCTCGAGATTTGAGGGCGCTATTTGCCGTAGTTATATGAGGAATCAGGTAGCGCAGATGGCGCCGGAAGCTGTCCGTCTTGGAAATCTTGAAAAAGTAGAACAACTCAAACTCCTTGGGCAAACCCGGCCTAGGCGAGGTTAATATTGTTTCCCGAAGACAGACCGCTCCCTAGAGCACCCACCATATGTTGCCCTGCACGTTGTCCTTATTAACTCCAGTCGTCAGATTTTCCTCAGATGCCATATTGATAATGAGAATGTAGTAGTCCAGCAGGTAATACAATAGCCGCACGAGAGAATAATTGGCACACATGGAGCCCAGATAGAGCTGGATTTATAGCTTAAATTGACCTTTCGAAGAGACGCCATTATCGGAACACTGAATGAAAATCTTCAACACCAGTTCCGCGCAATGCCGGACTGAACAGCCAGCAATACTGGGGTATGCAACACCATGGTTTGATGGCACGCCATTGCGTGTATGACTCCGATCGGAACTGGATGGGAAACCTTAAGAGGTTGTAAGGTAAAGATACAAAATTGACTAATGTTGCATCCTTATGTGACAAACTCATCTTTCTTTGATTTGGTTGGTGGTCTCGGGTAACCGACCAAACATTGAGCCCGGAGTCAAGAAGCGGTTGACGCGATGGTCTAGAAGGACCGGATCTGTATATCCAAGTGAAGTAACACCCTTTTCCTTTCTGGCTTCTGGCTAGCTTTGATCAAAGGCTTGGGTTGTAACGAGGGTTTCAACTTTACCTACACGGACTGGCGTCGGGGACAGAGAAACGGATATGCCGCTTGCAGAACATTAATTGACGCAATCGGATTAATAGCCAGTCCACCTATGCTCACCGATTAAAGTCATATGTTTTGAGAAATGAGGTCATCACTCCGAACTGCTAATAGAGCCCTGTACAACGTTTGTGGAATGATGGAGTCAGCTCATGTCAGCTCATCTTGCAGGAAGCGACTGCAAGACGCTATGTGTGAACAGCCACTCTTCCTAATGTCCCGAGGAGACAGGTAGTTCGCATCCTTCTCTACTAACCAGGTACAGTTGGGTACAGCTCCTGGTAAATCATAACGCGACGAGGCTAGGACAACAAACAATGATGGTCAACGCCCTTACTTGGACATAGTTTATCTCTTTTTGAATGCCGTGGAGCGAAAGACTCGACCAGCCTACAAAGCACAACAGGAATGAGGATTGAATGGGGGTGACTACCTATCTGAGGGCTCAGGAATTTCAATATTAGTTTTTGGTGACACATAGCTCTACCCCAGATACGGAATTGCATGGGTAGTTGAGAGGAGGCATGCCAGGTTGAAAAGGTTTGATTGTATAGCACAACATTCTATTTCCGACAATTCAGTCCATATGTCAATATCCCGCAATTCAGCATTTCTCTGGTCATTCCACTGCTACGCTTGTAATGCAGATCCCTCTAGACCTCGCTAGCCCATACAAGGGTCCTAGGATATTATCACTTGCTGCCGTCTCTAAGATAAAGGTTTTCTCGAACACAACTGTATACGTGTCCCTGACCCGACCTGCTGAGAAGGGATGTATCTTGAGGACAGCGTGTGAGAACATCGATCGGTAGGGAGAGAATTACTTATTGGCGGCTTTGACTTGATTCCTCTTAACATGCCATACTGATCGCCAGCCGCTCGTAAGACTAGGGCGGTGACAGGGACTAGACCGTGCATTCCTTATGGCGAGTGTCAGTGTCTTTTAGTGGATGTTGGGATATGCGGCATGTGTCACACTGTGTGGGACACGGGAAATCCCTTCATTCCTGAACACTAGGCATTCTATTGCTTGATTGAATACAGATACTCGGAATTGGTTGCTCGAGTTTCCAATGACCACGATGAAGTATATATATCAATTCAGCCTCCACCCAGGGACATTACGGGTTGGGATAACATCTTTATTCTTACTCTGAACCGTCTGCAAAGGGGTGATGAAGCAGAAGCCAAGAATGGGTCTCAAGTGGGCATCGGTATTGTTGCTCATCGGTTTATCCAAAGCAGAGAAAAGCATCGTGCACGGGTCCCTCATATCTGCCGTAGCACAAGGGGCGTCTCTGGGTATTGAAGGTAGTGGTGCCCCCGTCGATACCGGAGGAGAGAATACAGGCTTGTATCAGTCTCCACCTTACAACAGCGCGCGGATCGACCGTAGCAGCTGGATAGCAACATGTGACAGCGAGCTGGTCGGACATAAATGTATCAATGCGATCGACGGCGACAATAGCACGTACTGGCACAGCGGTGATGCCACCAACGGTATTGCGTCCCTTCCTCACAACATCACTATCAACCTCGGGACAGTACACAATGTGAGCGGGATTGCCGTGTGGCCAAGAGCCGTGGAAGATGGTTGGATTGGGACACATGATGTTTCCCTCAGTACTGATGGGGTAAACTGGGGAGATCCAGTCGCACATGGGGCATGGTGGCCTGATTCGACCGTGAAGCTGGCTGTGTTTGAGCCTAAAGCGGTGCAGTATGTGAGGCTCATTGCGCGTTCCTCGTCCAACGGAGACAATGCAACTAGCATTGCAGACCTACAAATCTGGTCGGCGAACAGCATTCCCACAGCGCCACAGGGAAAACGCCTCAGTGAAGTTGGCGCCTGGGGGCCAACGATCGACTTCCCTCTCGTCCCAGCCTCGGCGGCCATCGAGCCCAGTTCCGGGAAGGTGCTCGTCTGGTCTTCATATCGAAAGAACCAGTATGGGGGTACCAGTGGTGGCTTAACGCAAACTGCCACGTGGGATCCGAATACGGGCGTTGTCTCACGGCGCGAAGTCTCCGATACCGAGCATGATATGTTCTGTTCTGGTATCTCCATGGATGTCAATGGGCGCGTGATTGTCACTGGAGGAAATGATGACACCATGACGAGTATCTATGACTCTTTCAGCGACAGCTGGATCGCTGGAGCACCGATGAACATCGAACGTGGCTACCAGGCTTCCACCATCCTGTCCGACGGAAATATGTTTGTTCTGGGCGGTTCGTGGAACGGGCCCCAGCTTCAGAACAAGAACAGTGAGGTGTATAATGTCGCAGCAGACACTTGGACTCAGTTGCCGAACGCCGGCTCACAGCCCATGTTAACCCATGACAACCTGGGTCCCTATCATGCAGACAACCATGGCTGGATTTTCGGTTGGAAGAACCTCTCGATCTTCCATGCCGGGCCGAGCCAGGCCATGCACTGGTACTTCGCCCAGGGCGAAGGGAATGTGACGAATGCAGGCAATCGAAGCACGGACTACGATCAGATGTCCGGCAATGCGGTCATGTTTGACGCCACCGGTGGGAGAATCCTCACTTTTGGAGGTTCCCCAAACTATGAGGATTCGGATGGTACAAAGAATGCAACTCTCATCACGATAGGGGACCCTAACACCCCGCCGGTGACTGTGAAAGCAGGTGGTGACATGGGATACGCGCGGACGTTCCATACTTCGGTTGTCTTGCCCGATGGAAGTGTTTTTATCACCGGTGGCCAGGCACATGGCCTGCCCTTTAACGAGGACACGGCTCAATTGACGCCAGAGCGATACATCCCTGGGGAGGACAGATTCGTCGAACACTTTCCGAACAATATCGTCCGAGTTTACCACAGCTGGTCCCTTCTTCTCCCTGACGCGACGGTGATTAATGGTGGCGGTGGATTGTGTGCCAACTGCACCGCCAACCACTATGATGCCCAGATCTATACTCCGCCATATTTGTTTGACGCGGATGGAACCCGTGCCCCACGGCCTCACATCGAGACTGTGGCCCCAGCCAGCCTTCGGTATGGCGGTCAAATTACTATCACTGCCGATTCCCCTATCAGTAGCGCCTCCCTGATCCGCTACGGCACCACAACACACACAGTGAACACCGACCAGCGTCGCATCGAACTAGTGCTCGAAGATGCCGGGACCAACATGTACACAGCAGACATCCCCAATGATCCTGGCGTTGCTCTTCCTGGATACTACATGCTGTTCGTCATGAACGCAAACGGAGTGCCTAGCGTATCGAAAAACGTCCAAATTACTCTGTGAGAAGCCGCGTTCTCGAGACAACGAGATGGTCCAGACTGAACCGGATCAGAAACCGCAGATTCAGCGACTACGCAGAGGATTCACGACCGGGGCAAGACTTTTTTTAATGGTTGGATTGAGAAACACTTGTCACTTAATTTCGGTTTTCAGACTGACAAGGCCTGCTGTGGAGAATGCTATAGAACGTGTAGCGCAATGTGAAAGACCGTTAGTAACTGCTGGCTCTACAACAAATATGTAGAATGTTCCAACCCGGATTTGCACATGAATGTTTGAGAAAGGTCATTCATTTTTATTTGCCGCAGTAAGCCTTCAATGTATGTATCATACATAGCCTGCAATTCCGGACCTCAATTTGGAGGAGGCTTAACAATACACAGTATAAAATCAAGATAGGATAAACAAGACCCTCATAGCTGGAAAGCATGCTTCACGCACTCCGGCGGATTCGTCTCTGGCCATCGCACCTAAAAACCTGGATCCGGAGAAAGGGGAAGGACGAGCAGAATGAGACAGCATCAGTTACCCTCATGGCCCCTGTAATCGATAGCAGAGCTATATTTCGGGTCATAGTGCATCGCCCAGTACTCATCCCATATCTTTGTAGTAAGGGGACCGACTTTTCCATTCCGGATCGGTTTCCCATCGAGTTTCGTGATAGGCATAATGCCACCAGCTGTAGTACACATGAATATCTCATCGGCGTGATAGGCATGTTCGAGTGGCACCACCTGAACGCGGACCTCGATGTTCTTGGCCTGGGCAATATCAAAAACACTCTTACGTGTAATGCCTTCCAGAACACCACGGTCGGGCGTGTAGATAATACCATCTTTAACCAACACTATATTGAAACCGGATCCTTCTGTGAGATTGGTATCTCCATCTGAGAGAAATGGGTAATCCGCGCCACGGTCAGCCGCTTCAAATAGACCCCGTGTCAAGTCCCCCCACTGGAGATTCTTGATGGTAGGATCGAAAGCTCCGGGGGGAGTGCGCCGTACGGTACGGGCAATGATCGCAGTGCCTCCGGTATGTTGCATGGCGGGCTCCATCACCCAGACATACGGCATGACGATCAGATAGAGATGATTCTCGAAAAGATCCTCTGGCTTATTGCCACGGACCCCTTTCAGGCCACGAGTGACGATCAGCTCCACAAAGGCATCTTCGATTCCACTCTTAGCAACCATCTCCCTTAGGGTTTGCTTGATTTCGTCCCTGGACAGTGGGATCTTCAGTCGCATCTTTTCACAACTATCTTCTAATCGACTGAGATGATCATCAAGGCGGAAAAAGCGCCCATCCCAGACCGATGGCACATCGTACGTGAGGTCGCTATGCATGAAACCCTCGTCGAGGAGTGGGACTCGTGCGTCGGCGAGTGGGACGAAAGATCCCTGGACGTAGGCAATTCCTTTCGCAAAGCGGTTGTCACTGTTATCTAGACGGGCCTTGCGCTCGTAGTAACCGGAAAATATTTTGTTCATAGATGTCATGGTGA